AAAAGAGAAACTAGAGATAAAACGAGAAAAACCCCTTTGGCCAACTGGGCCAAACGGCCCAGCTGGCCAGCCCACCAGGCCACAACCGGTCAGCCCACACCCCACTCATCCCCTTCCTCCTGCTACAGGAGGCAGAGGAGGGTGTGGCAGCCATCCCAGCCACCCTGCCCGCCGGATGCCGCCGTGGCAGACATCCAACGCTTCCCCCATTCGGATAAGGTCGCGCCCAGCCTCCTCTCCATCGCGGTCAAACCCTAGCGCCCACTTTCCCCTCTCCTTCGCTCGCTCTCGCATCCGCATCGCGCAGTCGAGCCTCGTCGCCATGGCCGAACTCGCCCACATAGCCACCGTCGTCCCCGGGCCGTGAGACAGTGTCCGACCGCTCCATCGTCGTCCTCTACGTTGTCCTCGTAGAGCAAATCGAGCAGGAGAGCCCCACGTCGCCACCATCGAACTCGTCTTCGACCGTCTGCATCACCGGCCGCCGTCGACGATTCGCTCGACCCCGACCTTCCCTGGCCTCCTCGAGCTCGTCTTCGGCACCGCAGTGAGCTCCTCCGCCACCCCCCTGCTTGCCCCCCTCGATTCATTGTTGTAGCCTCTGTCCCCGAGCTCATCCGATCTCGCGCATACGCGTGCATACGAGCGTGCGTGCTCGGAGTTGCGGCTGCTCCTGCGTACTTGCTGTTGCCACTCGCGCCGCCCGCGTGGCCGACCCCCATCGCCCCGTGGCCGCGAGCGTGACCCTGAACCCCGCTCCTGCCTGCTGCCGCCTAGGGTCGTGCCCTGCTCCCGTTACTCGCAAGCGCCAGCGCGCCTCCTCCCTGTTGTTGCCCGATGCTTCTGCTAGTTCTATTCCTTTTGCTGCTGTAGCGTGCTCTAACTGCTGCTGCCCGGGGCCGCGTAATGGCTGCGCCCAGCCGCGGATGCATGCGTGCCTGAGTCCCAGCTGATGGCGTCGCTGGTTTCAGCCGCCAGCACCCTTGTGTGCTCGTGCGTGCTGCGGCTGCAGCTACTGCCTCTGTCCAGGAGGCCGACCCCATTAGATTAGTACTAATCCCTCTAGTACTAATCTCCGTTTAGTACTAATT